GTGGAGTATAACATAAACTCTCATCTGTGACTCAAAATTTGTAATGAAAGTAATCTTGTGGTGTCTGGGGATACATTTTGAAGGTGTGATCTTCCGAAAAAACAATTTCTCTAAAGCACCCACACTTCTCACTCCATTTACGACTCGATCAGCAATGAAATAGAATAAAATATTAACCTTTGCTGTTGCCATTCAATCTAAAATGGTCTACTAAGACACAGAAGGGTGTTAGCTCTGTATTAAACGATATGAGTTTGTGCCCTTTTAGCTCTCAGCAGAATAAGATATTAGCTTTATTCTGTTGTCATTCCATCTATAATGATTCGCTAAGTGAGACTCAGAAGGTTGTTAGCTCTGTATTAAATGATATGAGTTTGTGCCCTTTTTAACTCTCAGCAGAATAAGATATTAGCTTTTATTCTGTTGTCATTCCATCTAAAATGATTCGCTAAGTGAGTCCCAGAAGGGTGTTAACTCTGTGATTAATGATATGAGTTTGTGCCCTTCTAGCTCTCTCAGCAAAAAAAAGATATTAGCTTTTATTCTGTTGTCATTCCATCTAAAATCGTCTGCTGAGAGCCAGAAGGGTGTTAGCTCTTTGCTAAAGTATATGAGTTAGCGTCCCTCTGGCTCTCAGCACACGTAACGGCCTGGACGACAGCGGGAAGAGGGCGGGAAGGCGATAATGTTCACACCAAAGTCATAAAATATCCAAATAGAAGCCCTCTGCCTCATCGTCAAATAAGGCAGTCTCCTTCTGCTAAGTGGCGCAGCAAACACCGCCGAACGGGGGACAGAGGGATATCGTGTGCCAAAGTTAAACACTGCACGGTCGTTACAGACCCATCTCGGCTTCGCTGCGAAGAAGAAGAGCCCGGTGTGTGGTGTCTGTCGTACGTGAGACAGTCATGGAAAAGAAGATTGTTTGTGAACGTAAAGCCAAAGGTCGGGATTGATTTATTTCTCAGAAATGGTTGTCATGATACAACTTTATTCATGTGTGCTGAATTCATCTTTATGATAACACTACATGGTAAAGAACATTGCAATTTGTAAACACAATAACAGGCATAATGGAAATGATGATAACCTTAACATCATACATTCTTTAGTTTGGTGAAAACTGGAAAGAAAGATTTTTTTCTATCATAGATTAATTAATTGTGAAGAAAGATGGAAACGGCAATGCAATAAACTAACCAAAAATGTGCTCTTTGAAAAAATATATTCTTCCTATGACCCTACTTTATATTTATAGTGGTAAGTGAGTAAAGTGACACATCTTTGTAAATATTTATTTGGTATCAGACGGAAAGAGTGTATCATTTCTGTTAGAACTTTATTAATTACATTATCTAGAAGACAACAAAACACTTTACTCTAAGATTTGATAGTGTTTTCCTGTCCGAGTCTGTTGAATCATCCAATCCAAATAGCGAATCCACATAGAGGGGGGTGAGAGATACATCACGCATTTGTCTGCCGCCGTTTTAGTTACATTTCAAATGTAAACACTGGAACTAAATATTTGCCAAACAGTTAGTGACAGTTTAGGTGTGAAAACTAAATTCAGTAGCCTCCCTCAATCATGTGTGCTACTGTTTGAGCAATGGATGTATTGTAAGAGATAAAGTATAACAAATTCTACATGGAGAGAGTGGGGAGTGTCAGAGATGTTAGAATTAGATATATTTCCATTGTTTTTATGTTTTGCTTGAAGATGGCATGCGCTATCAAATTATTTCAAAATATTTCAAAATATTTGGGAGTCTCATATATTATTTCTAAGCTCCATATGTATAAAGTAGCAGCTGCTTTTTTATTAAATTGGTTCATCTTCTGCAGCTGTCCATCTGAAAATTTGTCTTGATGCAGTGCTAATGAATGTTCAAACAAGACATTGCTAGAATATTTTTAACAAGGTGGAGACTGAATTTTCAAACAACTTCTTTTGGGGGAGGGGACAAATTTCATTGCAGCTAAGAAAAATATGTCCCCCACCCCACCAAATAAACTCTCTCAACAATGTCCAGATTAAGTTTCGGGAAAAGGGTTTGATTGCGGTGTCTCAACTGCAATATAGGGGTAGGGGTGCCCCCCCCCCTGCCCCTTTAATTTAGTGATGCCCCAGATCACTGCATAAAAATGGGCAATAAATAACCATCTTTATTCTGTCATCTTGAACTCATCTCCCTGACTGCCATCAATTCAATATGTGTGCCAACACCACTTCATAAGAACCTTCACTCCGGTGTGTGATCGGCCTTAGCTGATCAGCTGTGTGTGCTGTCTTTAACCGTCGGTATCGATCCGCAATATAGCCAGGCCAAGCGACAGTGATTTCCACGCCTTGGATATAATCGTCATAACCGGCGAGAGGCTATTGTTACCAACGGATCAATGTCATGCACGGCAGCTAGATATTGAAGGGCAGGGTATCGATTGGTGTTCGATTTCTCCTGGCTCAACAAGCTTTGTTCTGTGCTGGATGCTTGTTGAGGCTAATCAAATGTGAATTTTGATTTGGTATTGAATATGATTTTTTTATAAAAATAAATGAGGTGTGGAGTGGTCTGGTGAATTGAATGGAGGGTTCAGGGTGAAGGTTATGTCATTGCAAAATTTATTGAGACTGAGACTTTGTCCTTTGTTTATTTTATAAATATATTGTGACTCTGTCTATGATAGTTGCATAATTTAAGCCAAAATTTATGGTTTTCTCTATGATATTATCTCTGTATCTCTTGCAGATATTTCTTTCTCTTACTGATCATGTTTTGTCTGTACCTTTCTCTACTTAAACAATATGCCTCTATCTCTGTGGCTGTATACCCCCCCCCCCCTTCCTTCTCTCTTGCTCCCTTTCTTCCCCTTCTCTATCTCTCTCTGAGACTCTCTCCCCCTCTATCTCTTTCTTTCCCCCTCTATCCATCACACATCCATCTGAGACTCAGGTGTGTAATCTTATGAAGAATTCTTTAATCAAAGGAGAATAAAGAAACAATGAAGATGCAATCGCATATGCTATCAAAATTGTCCCATCTGCCCACCGCACTTAATAGCTGCAAAAAAATTCTAACGGTAGTTTACCAATGCCCCAGAAAAAAACCCTCTACATGCTCTGTTGTAAGAGAAGAAATAAAGTGATGATAGTACACCGGTGTTATATCCCTCGCAGACATTTAATTTATCTAATGGCATTCAAAGCTTGAGCGAGCGAGCGGTCCCCATCTTGCATGTAGAGGGCCAGCCGAGGGCGATATACCTAATTGGAGTGTGCCAGGCCCGCTGTAATTCAATTAAGAGCCGTGTGACCTCTGCTAGACAGACTGCCGATGCAGTTAGAGGTGTTCGTAATCTACCTCGGATGAATAATAATGTAATTTGAAGTCCTCGATTTCTGTCTCATTTCAAAGAAAATTTGTTGTTGTATACTTCGTTTGCAATGGAAAGAATTGCTCACACATACATGAATGAATGTGTAATGTTTGAAATTAGCCCAATTGAGGCATTTGGTATTTTATCTGTGTCAAGTAATGTGAGGTCAGAAATACTTCAGTAATGTTTTGTTTATTACACAATGCATGGATAGATTTTGAAAGATAATGGCCTAAAGATATTGTTTTGTATCTAGATTACTCTAAATGAAGTCATAGATCTGATCATAATTTCTTAAGGACATTCATTGTTCAAATGCATTACTTAAAGATCATACTGGAATATTCAGAAGTTTTCCAATGTTTTCAATATAATTATTAATTTTGAAGCTTTTTATGTTGCGAGCAAAGTTGCAACTCCCAAGTGGGCCATCTACTGTTAGTGGTATATTCAAATAGATGGTATTCTTCTTCAAGGTCAACTCAGCCCTTTTTCAGTGTTTTACTATTATTTTCTAAACTTGGTTGCTTTTACCTTGACTATTAATGAGGGCCCCTACATGTATATATGACAAAACAGATCTCACATAAATCAATAAAACATATGGTGGTAATGTTGATGTGATTAATTCAACAATTGTTAACATATAAATCATAATTGATGATCATTCTGGAAAGGAAACATATGGCTAACATATAGTGTCTGCCAGCTGGTATTATTGGGGAGACGGGCCTTCATGTTAAAGGTCAAAATAACTTGTCAAGCACTATTAAATACATGTTTCTTTAGTTTGTATTATTTTGATTCTGGTCATTACATTACTGGTCTTTGATTTCTGGTTATTATGTTACTGTTGTTCTATTTGGGATCTATTCTGGTTGTGCACTTCTAAAGAATAACACATAGGCAATATTTTGCACTGCATTGGAAGTTTTCTATTATTTTTCTATTATCTATGTCTATTGGCTCACCTATGTTTTTTGTTTGAAATATTGCATTTAAAGAAAGCTTCTTTCCTGTATTCCATTATGATATATTATGTATGCAATAAAGTATACTCAATAATCTATCAAATACAAGCAATCAAGTTGTACATGTAGGTCCAAACGACCTATTGAACTTTAGGAGATCATGAATATGCAAATTCATGTCTGTCATTGCCCATTTCCTTCTGCTGCCAATCTAACAACTTCCTGTCTCTGATTTTTCAGTCGATAAACTTGACCATTTTATTTTCCTCCTTTATTATGAGCGCACCAAGCTGTTATCAACATACCCCAGCTATATCCATATCCTAAACCACCATAGACAGTAGCCTATACCAAGCCAGAACTATTAAAACACTCCAGCTCTTTTCACATTTATTAACTGTTAACATCCTGCCCTACAAAAGGAACCAAAGGATCAAAGCAAAAAAGACACAAAGAGCAAATAGTGGAGCTTTCACAGGAAGTGTTGATAAATCCCCTATTAGGGTACCCTCTTTTTAAGTGAGTTGATATGCAAATGAGCCTCTGACCCTACATTCATTACCCCTTCCTTGTACCCACACAATACATACACTGCGTGAGTCTGTGTGTCCCTATTGTGTCTCCCCCTTCCTCTACCATTGTCTTATTCAATACCTGTGCCCTCCAATGAAACGCTCCCCTCCTTAGACAAAAGGGGGATAACAGTTAGACCTGTTTGATTAGTCCTGGTCCCAAGCCCCCCTCTCAGGGCTAAATAAGTTCGGCAAACAATCTCAGACCAGTCATTCTCGCTGGTGGATCTCCTCAAGGAAAGACTCAAGTTGTTACAAACTTTGATCTGATTTACAATCTGGAATCAAACTTGTGTTCTCCTATCAGACATTTCAAGATTACTTTCTAATTTATGGATAGTGTTTATTGAACTTGAACTATCAATATAGAGTCTACATGGATTTCCAACTATACTTTTCCTCCCAGCTTTTGGATATGGATGCTTGAATCGGATCAACCTGTTGAACGTACTACTGGATGCTTTGGGATTTATTTGATGTATTGGACATCTACCTGTGTTTGAGGTTGTTTTGCATACATGATGTCATCTTCGTAAAACTTCATTTTGGAATTTCTGCATCCAAGTCATCTTTCAGTTCAAACTTTGTGTCAAAGTAAAGCTTTTGTTTAATCGACAAATCAGAGGCAAAGACACTGAAGGACATTTGTGTCCTCGTTCGATCTATCCCTGAACTATTATTGTAAGAAGGGATTTCCCCATTTGGAAATCAACCAGGATGAATACAGCAGTGCATCCCCACACCCCAATGGATGCAGCAGCAGTGCACCCCCACGGCCACTCCCCCATGCATCCAGCGATGCACCCCCACCCTCCAATGGGCGCAGCAATGCGCCCCCACACATCAATGGGCGCAGCTGTGCACCCCCACACCCCATCCTCTAACTCTCCCATGCCCATGGTATACTATGCACAGTGCCCTCCCGCTGGCCTAGACTACATGCCAGAGATGCATGAAGCAATGGATTATGTCACAATGGTAATATATTTATTTATATCTGCTTTTTATTAACACCAGTATGTGCTAATACTTGATGACTACCGGTACATTTAGTCAGTGGTTCAGTTAATACTTTTTTATAATTCCTTTGTTTGTTTTTACCCATTCTATTCAAAGGATCTGATTTGTTGTCTTTCTGTAATGACCATCTTATAGTGTGGAACTAGAATCTTTGGTGAAGCTCGTGAGTGGTCCAAGTTCACAAAAGTGTCTTGCTGTGTTGATCGCAACTTGTGAATGTTTTGTAAATGTTTCTTAGCATTTAGCAAGAATGACTTGTGGTAATGGTATGCAGAACTTTTGGTTCTACATTAAAATTCATCATTTTCACATCTCCCTACCAAATCATCTTCCCACTCAGGTGATGCTATCCAGCTCATGATTCATCCCAGTGGAAACAAATACAGCATTAAATATCTTCCTGGCCCATTCAAAGAAAAAAAAATCAAGCGTGTGGACTTCCCCCAAGAGTGTTTATATAATCAACCGCCCGTATCGTATTTTAGTGATATACCCAACATTTTCATTTCATTAATGCATAGCCCGCAGCGAGCAGTATCCCGTTACATTTCCATGTCCTACACTTGTACAGGATTCACTTTAAAAATTTGGTGCACTCCACTATCTCGCATTTCTTCTCTGTCCCAACTCCCAAGTCATGTTTCAAGGAAGCATTTCATTGTCATCCAAATTCCACTTTGGTGTGATCAGAAATACAAGTATATTCAATTCCTCTCGGAGGAGAAAAAAGCAAACGTGATTATAAAAGAATCTGGAAACAGATATGTCTGGCTAAAAACAAAAAGTGATATTTGACAGACATGTTGGTTTAGTAATCAAAACTACAGTAGTTTTCATATCTATGTTATAACGTCGCATCCATAATTCTAATAGTGTACTGTAATGATGTTATCTTTCCAAAGATATTTTTCTCTTCGATGAATACAATAAATAAAGATACTATCTTGTTTTTTTTTAAAAACATAAAGGAGGACAGAAGGGTCCAATGAAATCATTAGAACAATCTTTCTCTTTTCTTTATTTCATATGAAGCTCCTTATTCCAATCATATACATCAATATAGTCTAACTCTAAGGTAACTTTTCATTGATGATGTTTAAAAACAAAGCATTACCAGTAAACAAAAGGGCAAGCTTTGATAATGCTTCCCGATTTCCTGTATCCATGTAACTTACCATTACCATCAAAGAATTAGTAAATTGTATAGTGTTATATTGCTTATTTCCTGTTGCATTCTTTGGTTATTACACTGAAGCTAATACCTGGTTTCCTCTTCCACGGTCTCATGTTGTTATACAAATTGACCTCCACTTAGCTTTGTCTTTCTGGACAAAAAAAATTATATGTGTAATAATTTAGTACCTTTAACAAAGGCTTACATACATTCATTTATTTGGATTATACCTATACCATACTCTATGATAGGTCATTTAGATAAAAGAAATGCTTTAAAAAAAGCACAGAGCTGCTAATATAGAGTAAAGAAATCCAAATTGTTTATGTTCAGTAGATAAGTAAGATAAATTACATTTTTGTCCACTCACAGTGCTACTCATGTGTACAGCAGTTTAAACAACATTTTACTACATTGTATTCATTTGTTGAGATTGTGTACAGATGTTTATGATTTCATTTCCTTCTTAAACCTTCCCTGTTTCATGCTAATTGGGGTAATTAAATGAAATTTAGATTCTTCTTGAATGCAGTTTCCCTAAAACCCAAAAGACTTGGATTACGCTAGGTAGCTATTACAACCAATTTAGTGCACAATGATACAAGAAACACATCAAATGCCACTGTTCAATGTTATACACATTTAAGAAAAAAAGAATACAAGAGCTAGGAACCAAATAAAAATTGGCAACAATAAGAATTCTTGTGTACCAGTACTCCATCTTTAGATCTCTAAAGACATATGTATACAATGATGTATTTACTTTTGCGCTGAGTCTCATTTTGTAGGTTAGAGCCCCTGGGCCGGGGTTGTAGGGATGTGTAGATTGACAGCTATGGTTAATGGGGTTTTAACTGTCTTTAAGTGTTTTTATTTGAGATGTTGAAAACATGGAAGGCTGTTGCCTTGTCCATTTTAGTTTGAAACGAATCCTGAGTTCTTGTTACGGGAATTGCATTCTGAGAGCATTTGATTAAAGGAATAGACAATTTTTTTCTATCTTTTTTGCAGTAGATGGGTAGCTTGGATGTTTGGAAATGAAAAAAATATAGATAAGATTTATAGGCAGCTGGGTTGTGAACCTATTTGTGAAGTCAGTATGTGTTAATGAGTCAGTGAGGTGATCATATGTTTTTTCCTAGCCATTTCCTGGCATTTCCCAAGCCCAGGAAATGTCTTCAAACTTTTGTGGGAATGTCTCGGCAATTGCATGTCATAATGCTTAATTGGTTGCCATAGTGACCACAGGATTAGGAAGTGACACATAGATATTGATACAAATATGTATAGTTTCTGTTGTTTGGACTTTAAACCGATAGCACATCGTATTTGTTTATTTATTTATTTTTTATTTTTTTAATATTTGTTTTGTTTGCACAACACACATTTTCCATAGACTCTAGCATTATCACAGGCTTTATATTCAAGGGGTTGGATGTTCATTTTGCACTGTAGCTAGATTCTCATTAAGCAAAGGCATCAAATTAATATTGAATATGTAGGGATGGGATTACCTGGACAATTACAGTGACAACCAGTAGATTAACATAAAGATTGAGATATGCTGTCAGGAGATTAACTTATTACTGATACATATCAATATTGAATGGTAAGGAGGGGATTATAACTGGAAAATTGCAGTGACATTTACATAAAGATAGAGATGTGTTGTTAGAAGATGAATAATGGCTGATACAAAAACATGTCAACTTTTATGCTGCTCTCCTGGCCTTTATGCATTAGTAATATAATAGGCTGTGCATTATTGATAGTTTCTTGTCTACGATGAACATACTAATGACATGGAAAGGCCTTTGAAAGGGGTAGAGTGTATATTTCCTTTCATGATATTCTTGAATGTTGCTTTTGTTTGAATTCAAAAGATAATTGTGAGTATTACAATGGGTTTATTACATGGGAAATGATTACATCATCTGTTACGAGTCAGAAAATCATTATGTCTATATTAAGATATAGGTTGATGCTATCCTTGCTCTCAGCTGTTGACATGTGCATTTGTTATTTTTATTTTTTATTTTTTTATTATTTTATCATTAATGCTGATTGAAAAGCCCTACTATTCCAGCAGTGTCAACATTATAATATCGATGAAGGTGACTCATTTTTTTTTACAATGAATGAAGAGAGAGCCCTGAAATCAATCGATGATTCTTCTTGTTGAAGAAAGAAAGATGAATGCCCTGCTTTTTTCAAGGCACTAAATTTCCCATTTTTCAAGTTTGCATACACTGTATGATGCCTCCATAATCAAATTATTTATTAATCAACTTCAGGGAATGTTGTTGATGTAAAATTGTAGGGGGTAATGAGAGAAAATTAGCATTGTAATGAAGTTAATATCGATAGATACTATGCATTAATTAGATAATGATATTACAGAGTCATAAATTTATCTAGGAACAGGCTTGTCGCTGCCACAGATGTACCCGTAAGTTATACATGTATGTATTCTTTTGAGTACACTATAGTGTGTCAACAGACATGTTATTTAAGATTATACTCCTGAACCTAATTAAATGATGGAAATGGAGCAAGAATAGTGTACGCTTGGATTGATTAAAAGTAAGAATGCTGCAAAGACGTGCCTAGTGCAGGATGCCGAAATTTCCTGTCAAAGGTACTCTAAACCATCATATTCTACCATCAAATTTTAGTATGCATCCCGTAAACACCCAATATAAATGCATCATGCAGGGCTAAGACTAATTAGTTTTTCTCTTTCTATCATTTAACTTTTCTCACTTGCTGTGTGTGCTATACGGCGAGTGACGGGGATGCCAATGAGATAACGGTTAGGGATGGAGATGAAGTGAGAGAGAGAGAGAGTGAGAGAGAGAGAGAGAGAGAGAGAGAGAAAATAGATGAGGGGAAAGACTCCTTATGGATGGGTAACATTTGCAAATTAAAGTGGGCAGCCAGGCATGATGGGTTGGCTGTCACACCACGATGGTTCTTCGTCCAAACCCTAGTGGTGCGTGTTCGATGACTGTGACACCTCCATAGCCCATCTTCGCTTCCTAAGTCTATAAATCTGTCATAGAGGCCCCTCGGCGGCTTCTTTTTACATCCCATCTTTAATCCGTAACCACCATTTTAGTTACATCTCCCCATCATCATCATTCCTCCACCTTGCTCAAGAAGATGATGCGTTCCTTGGCTGGTCCTCTCTCTGTATTCCTCCAGTCCAGTCAGTGGTGATCTTGTAAAACGGATACCGGTGTTAATCTCAGTTGTCCTTCCTCTGGCTCTTGTCGTCATCTCCCGGCCTTCTGTCAAGATTTCGTTTTAATATTCCCTGTTTACGATAACATCATTCGTTGGTGATTGGTTGCTGTGTCATCTGGGAAGCGCGGCAACGGGCGTCGTCTTTTCATTAGCATATGGCAGAAAAGGTAATGGCTTTTCCATCTGAATGTATTTGCCCTGTGAACCATCTTAAGAATTTTTCATTCCGAATATTTTTGACCATTTGTCAGACATGGCTCTGTAGTTATGATGTTTTAAATGTTCCGGTATCTGTTTTTGATGAGGGTGATACATCAAGATGTGGTTGAACATTTCTAGGCATCATGAAATCTAAAACAATCCTCCACTCTATGTATTTATTGCTGCTGTTGGTGGTATAGTCATCAGCAATGCTAGAAAATGATCATTTGATTAATGCACCCTATCACCCCAAGTGCAGGAATAGATTAAAAACCATGCGGCACTCATCAATCATGAATTGCTATGCATGTTGGCAAAGACCCCTAGATGGTCCTGACTTGTCTCCAACGATTGCTTTTGCCTTGATCTTGTCATTTTGTTAATCTCACCCATCACATTTGTGATCATCCATTCACATTTAAGGAAATCTACCCAGCTGGTTGTCATCGATTATCCATCATTGATTTGGTACATCATTGATAAATGGCCGCACATGAACGTAGGAAGGTGTGCAATGTTTTCAAATGGACATACGTCTTTGTGCTCAATACCATCTCGTTTGCTCATTTTGTGATGTTTATTAATTAGCTCACCCCTCATCATCCAAATTAAATTTGTTCATTAGGCTGACCTGCAAATAAATTGTGCAATTTAACCGAGCGGAACAGAGTTCATGGTACAGATGTAGCTCCAATTTATCACGCAGTCATTTCTAAAATTTCGAAAATCGTGATGGGAATGATATAATACCATCATTATTTTTTTTCATATTGTATTTTAAGGGTAATTGGAACATGGCTTCCAGAGTTCAACCTCTTTTCTTTATACAGCTTCATGGTGGTGCTTTGTTTCGTCATAACTTTAGAAGTAGTCTATAAAGAATATACATTTACTGTACGATATCATGGAGAGATCCTTTGAAAGACTTCTTAAAAAAATATATTCCATCTATTCTCATTCTCAGTTCACCTTTTGTGCCTTCCTCTCAGTCCAAATAGATTAAGACAATAACGACATGTTATTCAATGTACAGTGGCTAAAATAATATAAACTGGGATGATTTTTACTGAGAGTGGATAAGCATTTGTTTTAATAGTAGTCTATAAAGTGTATCCAATCTGTCCATCTATATAGACATCTGCTTCAAAGGATATAAACATTTTGGCGGAAGAATTTTGTTAGTCCTAAATTTTATCATACATGTATGCTTGCAGTGTTTACATTTATCTACAGTACATGTACATACATTGTATATCTCTCAGCCATGTCATTGTACTTTTAAGGGAAAGCATTGACATACAATGTATGTGGGCTTCATTAGGTATGTGGAGAAGTTTACATCCATCTTCTTGTAGCCATCTGGATATCACCTTAACATGTCTTACTTTAACTCATACACTTTTTGTTTCTTAAAATGTATTTCTTTCTCGTCTCCCACACTGTCTAGAACTCCTAAATTCACCGCTTTCCATTCTTCTCATTCTCGCCATTCTCGCCCTCTCTCCTTCTCCTCCACCTTCACTCTGGGTCTTGTTCTTTTTTTCTGTCTCCTCCCCTCCCTCTCTCTCTCTATCTCTCTTTCTCTCTCTCTCTCTCTCTCTCTCTCTCTCTCTCCCTTTCTCTCTCTCAAATTCCCCCTTTCATTTTTGTAATTATTTTCCCTGTATCTACCCCTCTCTTTCTCTTTGTCTTGCTTCAATTCTCTCCTTCTTACACAACATGAGGGTTTATGCTGCAATGATTTGATATCTTCTTTAGATATATATTGTAAACTGGTGTACAACTATTTTTAAAGTCTATGTTGGATCTTGGTCTAAATATACATCATATGTTTAAATTCATTTCTCACCCCCTCCTATATATTCCAAGTTTACAATGATTGACGTAACTCCAGCTATGCCTGTCATGTACACCCAATCAAAAGGCATTTCCCATCACAAGATTTAGATACAGGAATAGTGAACAGCGAATATAGCATACCAGCTATCTTAAAAATAGATGCTCCTAAACCAGACCTGGTGTCGCATGCATTCCTTTTGCATCAAGCCCCACTTACGTAGGAGCATCGTTGTATTCTCCCGAGTTCCTCACTGTAGTGCATTGCCCAACAGAGGGCAGTAGACGGTTATACCAGTGCTGTGACCATAAACACAACAAGACCTTGCTACTCAGTTGGGTTATAAGCAAACACTCTGACTATCCCAACACTGTTGTTAGGTTATATTTGTGGTTGGTTCACATCTGTCCTGACTATCATCTGTATATAAAAACCATATGTTAACAGAACAACAGTGATATTTACAATCCAACAGCTGTGATGCCATTCACTCCCATTTCTTCAAAAGTCATCACCTTTTCCCTCCTTGATTTGTTGCTAATATTCCATAGACTTGGATGGTGAGTGCAGTGTTGGAGTAGGGAGGGGGGATGGGGTGATGATTTGGGAGGGTGGGGGAAAGGATGAGCTATATTAGAAGCTGGGGATGTCATTAGTGTGTTGTTTACATCGCATGTATGATTTTAATTATCTTGTGCCAATAGCTATGACGACAATAGCTATGACGATGTGGCAGTAATGAGGTGCATTAGCACTTAAATGATCTTTTTCATGTCTAATATTGTAAGGTTTAGAATATACAAGCTTAAATTTTTTTTTTTTTTTAAAGATTTATCTTAAAATACTTTTCTAATTCTTTTTTTCCCTGAAATTTAGTAGACTTTCCTTTCATGTTGGCAATTATGAGGTGTCATTGCCCGCATACTGGGAAGCTTTAGGTGATCTCAGTGCCTATTCAGTCTATGTTTTTTGGCAGTGTAGATTGCGTCAGATCAATGATTGTATGTAAATTCTGCTCAGCAAGGCCACAGGAAGTAACATATCCAATGTGGAAATTGTTACATTTCCCTTTTCGCTGCATATTTATATTTTCTTCACTGCTACTCCAAGACTTTTCTCGTTTTTTTTCTTCTTTCTTTTAAAATAGCTAATGACTAATACTTCAGATTACATTTTTAAAAAGTATGATTTTTAATGAATCTGCATTCTATGTTTTATCACTTAGGATTACATGTACATTGATAACAAGGTTGTTGCCTTATGTGTGTAGCCTGTTCATGCTCTGGTTGAAAGAATAGTGTTCTTTTACTTTGTAATGGATAAACATGTACTTGACAGAGACTGATGGAAAAAAGGAATTACAAATGGCTCTGTTGTGTGGACATGCCTTTCGGAAGAACACTATAAAAGGAAAATATGCGTGAGGAGGTAGCTTGATACTTGTATAGATGCAAACAATAATTGTATTTTCTCCTTTTGATTTCATCTTTACAGCAGCACCCACACATGATGGCAGCGCAGCATCAGCTTCCACCAGGCTCTATATACCAACCACAGTTCGCCCCTCAGAACGGTCTTGAACCCTACCAGCAGGTCCCACCCGGAGGCCAGCCCCCAGCAGCCTACCCACCCGCCCCAGCCCCAGTACCTCAGCCCCAACCAGGAGAGCAACCGGTCGCGTTGCCGGGGTACTCACAACCGGGCGAAGTGCCTCCCGGATACACGCAGACAGCGGAACAGTTCTCACAAGCACAGGCCGCAGCCGCAGCAGCACAAGCGGGAGCCGAACAGGCGGGCGCAACGTCACAACCTAACCTTCTTAGTCCTCAACCTGTAAGTAAACAATGTAACTAACTTTCAGGATAAATCAGAGCAATAAAATATGTGGCATAAAAGCTCGTCTAGATACATGTGTGACGCATGCAGCAACTATTTTTTATGATGCGTTAAGTGTAATACACTTCACATTTCTCTATATTACCGTATAGCACAGAGCTCAGTGTATACGTGCATGTACCTTGTAGCAGGCAGATGCCATATATTTTTCACTTTCTCACAATACATATATATGAAAATTTTGAAGGAGAAGTTAAATATATGAAGAAAAGCAAAAAGGAAAAAAATGGCTAGTAACCTCTAAATAATGTACATGTACATGTAGATATGATCATGTGTGTTGTATACTGGTGACTTCCGAGTTCTTCTTCTCTTTATTTGTGCCGTGTTTGAAAGAATCGAGTGACAAAATCTTGTCGCACCTTTTAACATCATGGACATCTGACTGTCCAGTAGGTCAGGGGCTTTAAATTCCATCCTCCAAGAGACCGAGTTTGAAAACATTCGCTTGGAGCGAGGGTCGGGATGTGTGGCACGGAGATGTCAAGAGCCAATTAAGTCGACACTTAATCAGCACGGCCGCTTAACTTTACAGCCCTAAGACTGCTTTCTCTTTGGTTGTGAAGAGAGTTCATAAAACGCAACCCAAGACGCCCAAATGGTATCGATTGACCGCTGTTGATACCCACTTTGATGTGTCTGTCTTAGTGGCTCACAAATAACGACCGTCCAAACATCGGCAAAGGTTTAGCTTCTTTATTGTACTCTGTCTCCATGTTCACTAAACAAGGAGAGACATTTTAGCCATTCTGTTCCATTGTAATGATGATCAACTTGTTAAATTCCATTTGAAGATTGTGGTGTTGAAAAACACACATACATGTACATAGAGTATGCAAGCCTGGGGATGTTAACTGATAACTTCTTTTCTTTGTTATGCTAAAAATTTAGTAAAGCTAATTCTTGTCAAAGTGTTTTTAACCGACTTTATTACTCAATAATTACCATTGAAATCTCATAGTTTATAATTATTGAACTCATTAACATATTTAGAACCAAATATCATACTCATTATTCCGGAAGGCTTTTGAAACAATTTATCAAAAAAGGTCAATGCCTTTTTTTGCTAGAAACTGATAAAAATAGAGATCGAGATAGGGCCGGATGTAATTGTCCTTATCCTTTGTGCCCTGAAATTTAAATGTATTTTCAAGTAAGAAATAGTGGCTCCCTTTTTTTATGACAAAAACGATGAAACTCATAAAAATATGCAAGCAGATGCGTTCCCTGTAAGGGGTCTATCAACAACCTCATATAAGCAGTCACACTCTGTGGGCATGGGATCGAGAACTGAGACCATCTAATTAATACCTGGAAATGCCATTTCAAGAGCAGTTTCTCTCCAACTGCTTTCTGTTTCTTCAATATAATTTTTAAAGCCTATACTGTACCTCTCTTTTAGTCTTCACACTCTGTAATATAATTTTTTGGAAACCTCTACAGCCCTTCCTCTGTGTTATATCTTCTCTTGTTTTCATATGATTTTTAAAACCTATATTTCTCTTTCCTGTGCCATCCACTTTATCTTCTCTATCTCTCACTGTACTTTACCTCTTCCCGTTTTTTCAGACATATATCTATTCATTTTCCTCACCAGATTAATTTCTCTCTTTTCTCTATGCATCATTTTTCTTTTCTATTTTTCACAAGATTTACTTCCTTATTAGTATCCATCTATTTAATTTTTTCTTATCTTTCATTTCTATTGTTAAGTAGTAGTTTGCAGTCATTAATGAAATTCAGCCCTCCACTCTCATCTCGTAAAAATGTAGGACGATTTATGGCATAGAAACTACATGTACCGGTAATGATGTATAGTTTAACCACGGGTAGTCAGGGGTGAACCAAATATCTACCCCCACCCCATCCCCTCCTCTCCACCTTCTACCAGGGCAGTTGCCCCAGAGGACCACCAGGCTCTATTCGCCCAACCCATCCTCCTCCGTTGCGCCCTCCTGCCGACCGTAGCCAGCCTGTCGCGAGCACGTCCCATCAAGATTAAAAATTGATCAGGGCCTGTTCGTTGGGCCGTGACCAGTCCCTGTCAGCTCTCGTTCTGCTTCAAGTTAGACCCTCACACACATTAAACATGGGAGGGATTGCTTGCTGCAATATTGGACATAATGGATGAGAATCGCGTTTCTCATGAAAGCTATAACTCCCATCTGGTGTCCCGTTATTATCGGCTCTGACTCTGAAATTTCATCTGATTTTTCGCTGGAAAAGATGAGGTGGAGATAGGTGGCACAATTAGCAGCATATGCTACGCTTATTTTTCCTTCTTTTATATCTTTCTCACATTGAGTCTCTTTATTGCTCTCCTGATTAGGGAAATGTCACAGAGTGTGCTTTATGGCTCATGAAATGTGATAACTCTAATGATAGTCATTATGGCGAAGAGACAGCAATCTACCTGAAGTCATACTTTACTTTCTAAAACTTTGTTTCACAAAGTCTGATTGTGTCACGTTAAACATATAATGCAATACAGTGACAGTCCCTTCAAATTGTGACACCATCTGATGAAAGCAAAAAGGGCATTAAAAATTTAATTTGGAGGGTTTATGCCCTTCCGGCTCGCATTCGACAATATGTCTGTCCAGCATTCTTTCTTTTAACAATTTACATCTTCCGCAGTTCATGGAATGTGGATGATATATACCCCCCTCTCTCACCCTTTCTCTCTCTCTCTCTCTCTCTCTCTCTCTCTCTGTCCATTTTCTTGTATTCTGAGAGGTACAGTATGTGAATATTGATTGATGAGCATAATATAAACACTGGTTTTATAGCTGTTCAAAAACAAACTTTTTATAGCAGCTGGCTATAATGTCATCTCGCATATCACTTTCTCAGTCTGCCCCAAATGTTGCAACCGCTTGAAGCTTCTTAAAATTACATTCAAGATTCACTTGCTATATCAGTTACAGCACGTGCCCTATGACCCCACTTACAGTCAATAACTGTGATTTGAGCATAATATGCAAATGAGATGACAGATGGGGTCAGAGGGCTCCTTTAACCCCCCACTGCATTATGGGACGTGTATGGTCCACCCAGCCCAGCTGATCGGCGGAGAAAGTTATGCCAGTGTTTGTGTGTGTAGCGGGGATGATTGCGAGGTATGTATGCATACATTGTTTATGTGTACACACAGACCTGACGGGCTGGCACTTATGCATGTACATGGTGCAACACTCAGACGACGAGGAGGAGAGAGAAGGGAGAAAGAAAGCACCCCGCTTGTGCTGGTCGGTTGAATGGGTGGTGACACAGAGCGGTTGACTTGTAGCTGCTTCCCGACAGACTTGTAGCGCCCGTCATTTCCATCTATCCATCGTAACCCCATCCTTCTTCTTCGTCAGTCAGTCACCCTGGACCGTTGCATATTTTACATAAACACCGTGGGTTTGCCAATCAGCTCGCCATTCACACTTCACACTGACTTCACTGTACCAGATCATAAGTGGACCCTCCCCCCTCTTGTGTTTGGATGCCGTGATACGCCTGAGTTGCCGACCTTCTTCCAGTAACTGTTGTATAATCATGCAGGTAGTCTTTTTTAATGCATAATACGTAGTACTGTTAGTCATGTGAATTGAGAGATGGGACTTGAAAGAGAGCATTGGTAGGGACAAACGGACAGGATCTACAATCAATCTTCTATAAAACTTGAAGGATACGAGTGCCAACGGCAACAGGAATATCCGTGGATTGTGCTTCGTACCTCATCAGTATGCGCATGTAAACGTATCCTTGTGTATAGCTTAAAGTAAAGCCTTAATGATCTCTTGTACAGTTTACAAGGAACAGTTCTTTCTCTGATTGCTAATCCAGCTCTAATTGTGACTCGAGGAAATGTCTCCCACCTGTTTGAATAATCATCACCATAATATCTGCTGATCCTTGCTCCTTCACAAAATTCTATCCCGCCACTTATTTATCTTGATCTAACTCTCACTTTGGTGGTGATAAAGTCTTGCGATTCAATGACTCTGACTTCCGCGGCCTATGTGCTGGGATCCTCAACCCCTTCGTCGTTGCCACGGGAACGCTTGGCACCACCCCCTCCCAGACTGGCCCTCCAGGACTTGGGCTACGGGTACCTGTCCCCCGTAGCGGCAGCCCCAGCAGTGGCTGGCACTGCCCCCATGAATATGACGGAGAGACGAGCGACATACATGCTCCAACAGAACCTCCAGCTCCTTGCGGCCAGCCACAAGGTAACCAACAGCAGTTGATCCTGTCAACGAGAATAACCTCTTGTTGAATCAGGTTTGTCCGTATCTGTCTGTCAACATCTGCAGTATGTTACATGCTTCTTTCTCAGCATAACTGGCTTTGAGAATGCCTACTCCTTTTCAATTTTTTTATTTCATACATTCGATACAGCCACACAGTAACATACAGCAGTAGAACGTGTAGTTGATTCAAGAATGGTCTTTGTATAGATCTGTCCAAGCATTCTCGTGGACAGAATTAATATCTGCAATATGTGGCACATTACATATTAGTGTAACTTGTTTACAGCTTTTAAAACGCCTGTTCATTTTCAATCTTCTAATAAGTAACCATATGGTTTATCAAATATTGAACTCTAAGTGTATGCTGTTGTCAAATTATAGGCGCGACAAGGAAACCTTATAAAGATTGCTCAACAGAGACAAGGAAACGGTCTTTATATTCAGGTTGTTATAATATAGGTTCCTATGAGAAACACTATCAAATGGATATGAAAAGTGTGCCCTTCATGGGCGAGGGGCCTTTGTATGTAGGTGGTTGCTAAACCAGCATAATATTCATTTAGAAATGAAGGGAAAATATTTTTATTTCTGAACCACTTGTAAAGGTACATATATATTCTTGCCAGCATGATTACGTGCACATCTCTACAATCCTTATAAGATATGTCATTTCATAACGAATGCATTCCAGTCAGA